TACCTGCCCCAGGTGACCGACCTGCACCGCCACTTTGTCGACCACCTCACCATCCCATCCCGCCAGGGCAAGGGCGTGCTGCGGCGCGTGGACGACGTCTTTGACTGCTGGTTCGAGTCGGGTGCGTGCTGCTGTTGTGCGGCGGCTGGCCGGGCAGCGGGGTGCTGCCACGGGCCGCCGTGTCTGCCAGCCTGCCCGGCAGCCGCTGGCGCTCCACCTGTCTCCCTCACCTGCCTTCACCCGCCGCCCCTCCTCTCGTCACCCTCCTCACCTCCTCCTCCTCCTCCCCCTCCCCGCAGGCTCCATGCCCTACGCCCAGCAGCACTACCCCTTTGAGAACAAGGAGCGCTTCGAGCGCGGCTTCCCCGCTGACTTTGTGGCAGAGGGGCTGGACCAGGTGCGGCGGGGGCGCGGCGTGGTGTGGTGCTGCTGTTGCTGCTCATGACGTGGCGGCGATGCTGTGTGTGTGTGTGTGTATTGTACATCCGGGCCGCCACTGCCTGGCCCTCCAGCTCCCACCCAGCTGCTGCCTGCCCGCGGTGCGCCTGCGCAACACCCGTACCGCCCATATCGCATACCGTATCGTACCGTACCATGCCTTGCCCAGCCGCCGCCGCCAGTCCCCCGGCGGCCCACCGTGCCTGCGCCCCCAACCCCTAACTGACCTGCAGACCCGCGGCTGGTTCTATACCCTGATGGTCCTCTCCACCGCCCTCTTCGACAAGCCCGCCTTCAAGAACCTGGTGTGCAATGGCCTGGTGCTGGCGGCAGATGGCAAGAAGATGAGCAAGCGGCTGAAGAACTACCCGGTGTGTGGGCTTGGGTGGGGGCGCCCTGGGGCTCTCGCCTGCCCTCGCCTGGCCTTCCTGCTTCACAGGGGGGCGCCCTGCTCCGCGCTCCAGCCCACACCACCACCACGCACGCACACGCATGCACTGGCATCAGCGCACCTCACCCACCCGCGCCACCCCACCATGTTTGAAATCCGCCTGCGCCCACCTCGCTCCACCCTGCCGAACCCACCCATGCAGGACCCAATGGAGGTGGTGAACAAGCACGGGGCCGACGCGCTGCGCCTCTACCTCATCAACTCACCCGTGGTGCGCGCCCGGCTGGCCGGGGCAAGGGCCGGGGACGGGCTTTGCCGCCGCGGGCTGCCGGCTGCGCCTCAGGCGGCTGGGAGCGCCGCCCTGCTGCTCCCTCCCCACACATGGTGTCTCTGCATACCCCCTTTGCCTGCATCCCTCCAATGTGCCTTGACCCGCTGTGTGCCTTCTCGTCTTCTAAAGGAGAGAGCTGTCTGTTTCACTCGCAGGTGCGTGCCGAGACGCTCAAGTTCAAGGAGGAGGGGGTGTTTGGGGTGGTGAAGGACGTCTTCCTGCCCTGGTACAACGCATACAGGTGGGGGGTCGTCGACGGGGGCAGGGCGGGCCAGGGCGCAGGGCAGGGCAGCAGAGCAGGGCGGAGCAGGGAGGCATGGCGGCATAGGGTGGGGCGGCGTGGAGCCGTGGGGAGAGGCGGCAGCCGGCAGCCATCCACCGTTTTATTCTCCTACCCGCATGCCCACCCCCGCCCCCGGCCCCCTGCCCCTCTGCAGGTTCATGGTCCAGAACGCGGTGCGGTGGGAGCAGGAGACGGGGCAGGCCTTCCAGCCGCTGAGCGTGGATGTGTCTGCTGCCACCAACGTGCTCGATCGCTGGATCTGTGCCGCCTCGCGCTCGCTCACCGCCTTTGTGCGGGAGGAGATGGAGGCGTACAGGTGGGGGCGGTGCGGAGGTGTGTGTGTGTGGGAGAGAGGGAGGGAGAGAGAGAAGGAGAGAGAGTGTGTAGGTGGTAGGTGTGTGGAGGAGGAAGGAGGTCCCGGCTGCGGCTGGCATGCGCCGGTCGGAGGCGCTGCGGGCCTGGGCAAGCACCGCCACGCGCCGCCCGCTCGGCCACCTGTCCTCCTCAAATGCCTGCCGGCTGCTGCCTCGCCTGGTTCCTCACCTGCGCACCCGTGCCGCACCTTCTCCCCAACCGCAGGCTGTACACCGTGGTACCGTACCTGGTGCGCTTCATTGACTCCCTCACCAACGTGTATGTGCGGTACAACCGCAAGCGGCTCAAGGGGCGCAACGGGCCGCACGACACGCTGCTGGCGCTGGCCGCGCTGTTTGATGTGCTGCACACGGTGTGCAAGGTCATGGCACCCTTCACGCCCTTCTTCACAGGCGAGCAGATCGGGGTGGCTGGAGGGACTGTGTGGGTGGGCGGGGCGGGGGCCAGCATACCTTTGGTGGGAGAGCAGCGGGCGAGCGCTTGGCCGCGCATGCCTCGGGCGTGCCTCCGCCATCCCGAGGCTCGTATCTGGATGCCGACACACCCACAACATTGCACCCACCCCCACCCCCACCCCCTCCCCTCCCCTCCTCTGGCGGCAGAGGCGATGTACCTCAACCTGCGGCGCGCACTGCCGCCCGGCGCCCCAGAGAGCGTGCATTTCTGCGAGATACCCGAAGCGGAGGCGGCGCAGGTGGGCGCCGCGTGCGGGGCGCCGCGCCGCGCGGCCAGGCAGGCGCCGTGCGCGCTGCCGGCAGGCGGTTTGCAGCGCTGGTTGCAGCCCGTCGCTCCCGGCACGCACCACGCGCCACATGATGCCACCCGCTACCCGCCCCACACACATGCCACGCACACGGGTACATGCAGACAGCACATTTCCCCCTCCCCTGGCCCCTGCAGGCCGGCGATGCCCAGATCCAGACCAGCGTGGAGCGCATGCAGCGCGTGATTGAGCTGGCGCGGGCGATCCGGGAACGGCACGGGCGCGGCGTGAAGATGCCGGTGCGCGAGGTGGTGGTGGTGCACCCCGACCAGAGCTTCCTTGACGACCTGACCGGTGAGGTGGCGCTGAGCTGGCGCTGAGGTGGCACGGCGGTGGCGCTGATGCGGTGGCGGGAGGTTGATGCGGGTGCCGGCAACCTTGCGATCAGTTCCTCCCACCAACAACTCGCACCACATGCCGCAACGCCGCAACGCCACAGCGCCCACACCAAACCACTTTCCCCTCCCAACACATCTCCCTCTCCACACCGCACCGCGCCTCTCACCCCCTGCAGGCGAGCTGCGGGAGTATGTGGCGGAGGAGGTCAACGTTCGCTGCCTCACCCCCTGCGCCGACCCGCTGCGCTACTGCACCGTGCGGGCGGAGCCGGAGTGGGGGGTGCTGGGCAAGCGGCTGGGCAGGGCGATGGCGGCGGTGGCCAAGGCGGTCAAGGCGCTGCCCATGGAGGTGGGCTGGCCTGCTGCTTGTGGGGGGGCTGGTGGTGGTTGGTGCTGGTGGTGCTGGTGGTGGTGGTGGTGGGCCGTGATGGTGGCTGTGGTGGTGGTGGTGGTGCTTACCTTGTGGGGCGCGGGCTGCCTGGCGCCAGCCGGCAACCGGCAGCAGCCGCACAGACAGCCTCTATGCCTGCGCCGGCCTCTATGCCACGCCGAGCGGCAGTGCCTCGACCTCGCCTGCCTGCCATCCTGCCTGCCATCCTACCTGCGCCACAGGACATCTTGGCTTATGAGGAGGGCGGCAGCCTGACTGTGGAGGGCGTGGAGCTGGGAGCTGGGGACTTGAAAATCCTGCGAGACTTCTCGCCGCCAGCGGGCAGCACGCCGGGTGCGCGCGTGGCCTCGCCGCCGCCCCTCCACGCCCAGCGGTCGCCTGCGCGGCGCACGAGGCACTCGCACCCTGCTGCCGCCGGCCCGCCATTCGTGCTTGCCGCCCGGCACGCCCGCGACCTTCCCTCCACCCGCGGCCCCGGCCCTCCCCATCGTGATCATGCTCTCCCCATCATTGGCTGCGCTGCAGAGGAGGTGGATGCTGCGGGCGACGGCGAGGTGCTGGTGGTGATGGACCTGCGGCCTGATGAGGAGCTGGTGGCGGCGGGACGGCGCGGGAGGTGGTCAACCGCGTGCAGCGCCTGCGCAAGAAGGCCGGCCTGCAGCCCACGGAAGCAGGTGGGCGTGGTGCGCGCGCGCGCGCGCGTGTGTATATGTGTCTGTGCGGTTTGTGGGCTGGTGCAGGGCAGGGGCTGGTTGGGAGCGGGCAGCCTGGCAGCGAGTGGGCCGCCTGCTGCTCGCCCTTCGCCCTTCCGTGCGCCACAGCGTGGCTCGAGATGAGTGACTGGATGAGCAGCGCCTCCCACCCACCTCCTGCCCCACGCGC